TTCGACGAGGAACCCAGAGCTCCCGTTCAAAATTTTTTTTTTTTTTTTGGTGGGGGGGACGCAGAAGTCCTGTGCAATGGGTCCCACTGCACATGTGGCGTCCCCATGTGCAAAAAAAAATCTGGGTTCCTCACGACGAGGAACCCAGAGTCGGTTCCTCCCGAGGAACCCAACTCTAGGTTCGACGAGGAACCCAGAGCTCTCGTTCAAAAATTTTTTTTTTTTTTTGGTGGGGGGGGACGCAGAAGTCCTGTGCAATGGGTCCCACTGCACATGTGGCGTCCCCATGTGCAAAAAAAAAGCTACATCATCAAAAAGCAAATCCACATCTGAATTTAACGAATAAGGAAACGCTGCATGTGTCACGTCAATTTTTGGGTGCCACGTAGTGCATTTTTTAACGGTGTCTGATGGTCCGTTAAAATTTTGGGTTTTTTACGGATTTTGAAAGGTGGAAGGTGTGAATAGGGAGAAAAAATTTCGAAAGGTGTTGATCGCAAAAAAGAAATAAATGGAGGGTGCAAATAGGGCTTTGGCCTTTGTTTTTTATTATTTATAGGCTTTAAAGCTACAGCATCTCTTTTTCAACGTTAACCAGACGGACACCCATGGCAGCCTAACGATTACAAGATAAACAACTTTCAAGGGAGAAACGGCTTTCTGTCTGTGATATCTCACTTCTCCACGTATTCGGATAACCCGCCCCCTCGCCACGTCACCATTCTTTCTTCCGCGCACACCGAACTTCTCCCACAGCTTTCATTTTTCCTCCATTCTCCCCGCATTTTCTCGCCAACCAAACACAATTTTCCCGCTAATTCACTCTCTCACTCTCGCTCTCTCTTCCGTCCATGTCGATTAAATTGCAGCTCCATGGCTTCTACTATTCAAGGTGCTTAGATTTTTTTTTTTTTCCCGTTTCCTTCTCAATTTCGTTAATTCGAGATAATTAATCTATGTCTGATAGCTTGATTATGGTTTTCGTGGAGCAATTAATGGCTTCTAGGGTCTTTATTTTGGAGAATTCAATAGCGTTGATTCGCAATTACCTTTTCTTTTCTGTTGAAATTATTTTTTCTCGAGAAAGCTTAGGTGGAGAGGGGTAGAATACTGTTTTTTTTTTTTTTTCTCGTTTTATTCGATTAATTGATTTTGCTGGTAACGGATTAGATTTTTTTTTTCAATAATTCAGTTTATATTTGATTAGAGAAGAATCTATACTTCCATTGTTATCTTTTCCAGGATTTCCCTCAGGAGAAAATGGTACCCAGCTCATTGTGGTGGTTGTCATGAGGCGTTTTCTGGTGCTTAATTATGTTATTGTGACTGTGCTTTGTTTGCTGATATATATGTTTTTGGGATCCTGTTAAATTATGCTTGTATTTGGGTGATTAGCACGAATTGAGAGGCTGCTGCTTGAATACTGGCAATGTGATATTCAGATTGCCTTATGAATTGAAGTTTTAAATATGTGGATACTTACTATATTGTTGCTAATGTAGTTCTATGGAAAAAAAATAAAAAATCTGTCGATTACGAGTTGCCTTTTGGGGATTAGATTACGAACTCTCTAAAGAAGGAAAATTGAAAGTGATAAAGAAACCTGCCTTACCATTTGCATATGGGTGTTCTCTTTGTGGCTAAGTGAACTTGTCTCAAATTTTTTGTTGGCAGCTCTTCAAATCCATGGACTACACGAAATTCGATTAGAAACCCTACTTCATGCAAAAAAAGGGATAACTTGGATTTCCTCTTGACTAACTGGGGCACTTCAAGGAAGAAATGTCTTTTGAGGCTTGTTTCATCAGATAATGTAAAGCATAATTTTAATTTCAAGCTGGCAGGTCATTGCAAACATTATTCTACTTTCTGTAAATCAAGAAGGATGGGACATTGTTCCCTCCTTGCTTCAGCTGAGGATGGTGTAACTGTCAATGGCAGTCCTCAAAGTAGTACAAATTCTGGTTTGGAGGAAATGAGGCTCAAACTTAAACAATCACTCCAAAGTGAGGATTACAATAATGGACTTGTTCAGTCTTTACATGATGCAGCAAGGTTTTTTGAGCTAGCAATCAAAGAACAGGGTTTATTTTCAAAAGTAACTTGGTTTCCAACATCTTGGCTTGGTGTAGACAGGAATGCATGGGTGAAGACACTATCTTATCAGGTTGGTCACGAAACATTCTTTAATTCCATTTTTTTTTTTTAATGTCAGGTAGAAACCATATGATATTTTCTGTTCAACTCTGTCTTTAGCGATAACATATATCAAAAAATATAAATCATGATTTTCTTGGATATTCTAATAGAGAAGAAGTTGGGTGAATGTATAAATTGAGTTGTTAATGATCAAATTCTGTTTGAACTTGAAGGATGGAATCACTTCCATCACCAATACTTTAAATCTTTATCATGCTGTGCAGTGGCTTTTCTATCAAACCACTGTTTCTGCTGTATTAATATCATTGATATTCTCCCTGCCCCATCTGTTCTTGCCTTCTCTGGTTCATTACATTTTGTCCAAGCAATGATAACAGAAGTAATCTAACTGCGTCTTCTACTTTTGCTGCTGGGAGTTCTCCATAACTGCTACCTTCTTATGTATACTGATCACTAGTATTCACAAGAAATTTGCTCGTGATTGAAGGATTCCTACAATTTAATCACTAAAATGAATAAATTATAATGCCATTTTAAATGTCATATCAACTTCATAAACCGATTTTAATTCCTCTAATCTGTAGGCAATAAGCTGTCTTCATTTCAGCATGCACTTTCTCTAATTCACTTTCACTTGAGTAATGGAAAGACCTTTAGGGTTTGCTTCGAATTGAGGAAATTCACAATTGATCAGGCTTCTCATTAGACATTCAACTCATTAACATAGTGGATATACATGTGTTAGCACTCCCTGCTCTGGGGATGCATGCCTAACATGACTAATTATTTAACTTCCATTTTGTTTAATTGTTTTGAGGTGGTTGTGTTTCTTCATCATAATATGGTTGGTTCTTTGATAGTATGATTCTGCTAATAATCTAATTTTCTCTCATTGTGAGTGTCCTTTTTTTTTTTTTGTTTAAGTTTTATTTTATTGGTGCAGTCCCCATGTGCTTAAATGTGTTTTAATTTCACATAGATTTATGCATATTTATGTATTTATGGATTTTTTATTTCTTATTTTTTGAGAATCGTTTCTATGGCCATGTTGTATGCATGCCTTGTTAAGTGAAAGAAAGATCTATTTGGTAAGTTTTATATGTGGATTTAACTGATGGATCTTGATTATTGTTTATCTCTCGTGTCATTTAAGTTATTTAAATTTTTATGAATTTTTGCAGGCTGCTGTGTATTCATTATTGCAAGCTGCCAGTGATATATCCTCTAGGGGTGATAGTAGAGACAGGGATATAAATGTCTTTGTCCAAAAGAGGTACTAAAATGTGTGGTTTTGTATCCCATTTCTCATTCCTTGTAAACCTCATTGGTAGTATCCTACCTCGCTTTCTTCAAATCTAGGGTTTGTGTGCCTGCTCTATTCTTTATTTTATTATTATTATTATTATTTATGTCTTCAATGTACTTGAAAGCTTTCCCAATGAGAAGTTCAGCTATTATAACATAAGAAACTTGCGATTTTCTTCCTTTTCTTTTGGGTATGTGTTTGCCCTGATATGGCCAGTTCCAAAATTTACAGTGAAATCTTAAAGATTTAAAAGTTCTTTTATTGTCACTCTCACTATGTAGTTAGTTAGTTATTTCCATGCAAAAAATTACCATTTTAATCTGATGTGAACTGTTGAGTGTATTGGGTATGGTAAATTAAGAAGTAATCTTTTATGGTTAACTTTTCTTTTTTTGCAAGGTAGAGCATATAGCAGGCAGCATTTGAGCATTCGTAAATGATTGCTTAATTAATTACAGGCTTTCTCCTTCCTTTCTAAATTTTCCTCAACGATTACAGTTTTTATTATATTATTTAATTGTGTTATTTTTATTTTTATTATCACATAACTGATTACATTACATTTGTGCAGTTTATTACGGCAATCTGCTCCCCTTGAGAACTTAATCAGGGAGAAATTATCAGCCAAACAACCTGAAGCTTATGACTGGTTTTCGACAGAGCAAGTTCCAGTGCTGGTGTCATCCTTCGTTAATTATTTTGAAGGAGAACCACAGTTTACTGCTGCCACTGCCATGTAAGTCACCACGTTTTCATGTGTTATTTTAAGGCTCTCAGCAGAACACATGATGGTGGTGGAGTCCTTCTAGAAATAGTGATCGTTTTGATTTTCTCCCAGGTGTGGCAAGGACACATCGTTCAGTGTGGGGAGTACAAGTGATATATCGCTTCTCATGCTTGCACTGACTTGCTTTGCTGCCATAACAAAACTTGGCCCTGCTAAAATTTCTTGCTCACATTTCTTTTCCATGATTCCGGACATTACCGGTCAACTGATGGACATGCTGGTTGATTTTGTTCTTATACGCCAAGCTTATCATTCCATAAAAGATATTGGTGTAAGCAGAGAATTTCTTGTTCATTTTGGCCCTCGAGCTGCTGAATGTAGAGTAAAAGATGATCATGGTTCTGAGGAGGTTATATTCTGGGTGGATCTTGTACAGAAGCAGCTGCAGCAAGCTATAGATAGAGAGAAAATATGGTCAAGGCTAACAACAACTGAAAGCATTGAGGTTAGGAATGAGACTCTTTGATTGTCTGAAATTTAAGACGTGCTTTGTTTTCAACCTCCGTGGATATAGTAACTTGGTTTTTTTTTTTTTATCAGCCATGGATAGTAATTTGGTGATCAGGCTTTTAGTTGCTAATAAAAGTGATTCTGATTTCTTGCAGGTATTAGAGAGGGATTTGGCAATTTTTGGATTCTTTATTGCCTTAGGGAGACGTACACAGTCTTTTCTATCTGCAAATGGTTTTGAAGTTATAGATGATCCAATTGGAGGCTTAATTAGGTTGCTTCTACTGCATCATGTTTCATCTTCATCATTTTCTTCTTTCATATTTTTGGTACCTAGTTTATTGCCTTCTGTTCTTTTTTCCCTTTTTTGTTTTTAATATTGTTGCTTTTGGATACAGGTACCTGATAGGGGGTAGTGTGTTATATTATCCTCAGCTTTCATCAATAAGTTCCTATCAATTGTATGTGGAGGTCAGGATGAACAGTTGTTGACCATTATCAATGTGTATTGCATGTGAAATATTATATCTCACTGTACTTTCCAATCATTTAGGTTGTTTGTGAAGAGCTGGATTGGCTTCCTTTCTATCCAGGCGACATTGACATCCAAAAACATTCTCATGGTCATCGAAGTAAACGAGAAGGTCCTCCTAATGCTGAAGCTCTCCCCCAAGCATTAGATGTTTGCTCTCATTGGATGCAGAGCTTTATCAAATACAGTAGATGGCTGGAAAATCCTTCGAATGTTAAGGCCACGAGATTCCTTTCCATTGGGTAATTGATTCAATGATTTCTAATCTTTAACCATTGAAGAACTAAATCTCAATTATAATATTTAACAAAAAAATATATTTTTCGTGGTTTAGGCACCATAAGTTAATGGATTGCATGGAAGAACTACGGTTATCAAAGTAAGTTAAAGCTACCAAGCCTTCTCTCTCTCTCTCTCTCTCTCTCTCTCTCTCTCTCTCTCTCTCTCTAATACACACACGCACACACAAAATGCTTGCATGCACATTTAATTGCAGAAAACATGCAAGCTTGCACACACTCATGCATAATGGACCAATGCCTTTTATGCACTGAGAAATTTTGAGTTAATTGGAGTTTGTTAAACCACAGATTCCATTTCTTATTTGGTATGTGTCTATTGAAATTTCCACATGATTTTGGTTTTAATCATTTTTCAGGGATCTTTTTCTTTTTATTTATCTTGTTTTATATTTGTATTCAAGAGGTTATGCTTAATCCTGGGTTCTTTACAGCTAATCACTTCTAAACCATGTGTCTCATGCCATATAAATGTGGTATGCTTTTTGCTAAATGGTCCGTTATTTACATTGATTGGTGTCACTGATTGTAGTTTCTGATAAAATGTGTGGCAGGAGTGGAATTCAAACTAATTCTGTTGAGAGGACTGGATCAGCAATTGACAAGGACTCCGATTCTTTTGATAAGGTTCACATTTTTCCTCCAAATTTATTCAAAAAAAAAAAAATTTATGTAGTTTAACACATGCAGCTGCTGTATGGTGATGATAAATGCCAAACACAGTATTGAATTTGGGACCCTTTTCTGTTTGTATGCTTTTGCTGGATAGTGTTCCAATCCTGAGTGAACCTAAGATTGATAAACCTCCAATTACCAGTGAAGTGGTTAGATGGTCTAAGACATGCAGAGTGAAAAAATGTATCTCTCTCTCTCTTTTTTTTGTTTTTTGGCTGGAAAAAAAATGAATCATACTTCCTAATCACATCATGTTTTCTCTGCCCTTTGCCTATGTGTTTGTGGCTTCGCACTGAACTAACTTTATTTATCTGAGAAAGAATTGAGCATGAGACCTCTGTTATCAGCCTGAACTGGTGAAAACATGATCTGTGTCTTGTTGATATGTGGTAGTTGGTATGAACGTAATGAATTGGTAGAGATTGACTTCCATTAATATGTATAGTGTTGTACAAGAGAACTAAGTAAATGATTAAATGTTTGATTTTATGGTGAAGAAAGAAGAAGGTAAATACCATGCATGAGGAGCAAGAAACTAAACAATGTCTATTCCATTATAGTGTAATGTTAAAATTTAATCCTAAACAAAATATGATTTATTTATTTGTAATCACAGGTTCTGTTTTCATTTCTTACTAGATTGATGGTGTCCCATAATTTTGCATGATGCTAAAAGTAGCATACTCACAAATAGAGATAGTCTCTCTTCTTTCTCTTTTAGTTGTTGGCTTGTAACTTGCACCAATTGTATTCTTGTTCTCATAGTTGACGTGTCTTTATTTGTTTGAAGTCAGTCTCATGTTATTGGTTTCAGGCCTTGGAGAGTGTTGAAGAAGCCCTGAACAAACTGGAGAATTTGCTTCAAGAGTTGCATGTTTCAAGTTCTTACTCTGGAAGAGAGCAGTTAAGAGCTGCTTGTTCAGACCTTGAGAAAATCAGGAAGCTAAAGAAAGAGGCTGAATTTCTGGAGGCATCTTTCAGAGCAAAAGCAGCATCACTTAGACAGGTTTCCCACCCCCTATACTCTTATCAAAGGACAGGTTCCCTTCCTCTTCTATACTTCTATCAAAAAACAGGCTCCCCACCTCCTGTATACTTTTATCAAAAAAAACATGAATCTTGAAATAACTTCCCTATTAATTAGTCCATTTTTGTCTCAACTCTCAAGCAAGCTCCTTCAGCAGGCAGATTATTCTTGTATCTAGAATTTGATGCACCTCTTTGTCTAATTTTATGTTCCTCTACATAACTCATTTATACACTATTAATTATGCCATTTAAAACATTGCAATACCAGTTTTCCTCCTTTTACAAGTATTTCTGTGTAACCTACCATTAACATTAATTTGAAAGAGTGGAACAAAAAATGCACATATTTAGTGAATTCTCTGCCATTCACTCATGTCTGTTGAGATGAACATGATATCGTGTCTGGTACTCCTCGTCTCCATCATCTAAATGTGTACAGTCTTCTTTTACCAAGAGAAAGGTGAAGTGGGGAAGTGATCAAATAAATGTTCATATTAAGATGAGTGATGTACTCAACATTCAGTATATGCATCTCCATCATGTATATTTAACAGATTTTAGTTGTAGGGGGATGCTGTATTGGGATTTATAATTATAAGTTATGCCAAAATTTTGGGATTTTTAAATCATGTCTGCCCTGTCCCTTAGTTATGCATATTTATTTGCATACTACAGCATTTTTTTGGTGTGCGTTGGAATTCATAGATGATCATTTCTCTTCAGGATGATAATGATGGTGGTTCCCAGCCCTCATATATCAGTGAGCAGCAAAATTACTTGAAGGGAAGAAACAGAAAGAGTCCTAACATGCTTGATGGAAGCAACAGGTAGAAACTTATGCAGTGGGCTATAGTTTATTTCTACATGCTAGGAACTTTATGGTTAAGGTTATTGTTTCAGTGTTCTGCCAATCTTTTCTTCATTCCCCTTTTTTTTTTGGATTTTTGTCCCCTCAGTTATGTGAAAAAGTCACGTGGGTTTTGGAGCTCCTTAGCACCCGTTGCAACCGGCAATCCTTATTCTGAGTTGTCAGATGCGGAGAAATCTGTATGACCTATCTTCACTGGTTTATTGCCTGTTTTCATATCTTGCTTTTCTGACTGTATTTATGATGTTCAGATTACCCTGCTGACCTGATGTCTTGCTTCTTGGTTTATGGGATATTGGATTAGTACTCTGTTTAAGTAAACACTTTGTTTGCTCATGTTTTGATCAACATGGGTTGAAAAAGTTAAAGGATTTATGACACTGTTTGAATTTGGTCAACTCCGTTGAATGGAAAGTTGTGCAATTGATTTGGTGTTTGCAGGGAAATGAAGCTATTCAGCTGAGTACTTCAAATGTAGGTGCTGTTGGCACAGAATCAAATGAAATCCACCGTTTTGAACAGCTAAGGAATGAGCTCATGGAACTGGAAAAACGTGTTAAAAGAACTGCTGATCAATCAGAAAATGAAGAGGTAAATCTCAACCTGCAACTGGTTCTTTTTATCAATATAAGAACAAGGGACACACTGACTTCCTACTATTTTGTGGTGTGATAGACTACTCACTCAGCATTGTGCTCTGGCCCTTCCACTGTAAAATTTCACCAATAGTTTCGATTTACTAGATGTTTTTATTCTCTGTTTTTGGTTTATTTCAGGGGATAAAGGTTGCAGATGAAACCCCTCGTTCTAGCATTGAAACTGGAGGTCCTCGATTGCTTCAGGTTCAGAAGAAAGAAAATATTATTGGGAAATCATTAGACAAGCTAAAAGAAACGAGCATGGTATGATTATCTGTGGGCTTCCATCAATCAAAGAATAATTTCCATTCTAATTAGCATGATTTGGCTGATTTAGCTTTGTTGCTTTAGTACTGCAAAATATTGAATCAGTAATTAAACCGTCAATAGGCTTGTTGAAGC